TTTAACTCGAAAAAGATGGGTGATTACTTTTAGGTTCCGATTTTTCTCATACATATCCAATTTTCGCTCAGTCAAGTAACACATAACCTATCTTGTAGCTTATTTTACTATTTTTATAAGATCTACTTATTTTCTTGATTAATATTCAAAAAATTGTATAAAATTGAATATATAAGTTATGTATATATATATGTGTGTATATATATATATATATATACATATACATATACATACACATATATAAATTTGATTTAAAGATATGAAAAAAGGTTTAACTTCTATAAAGTTTCTGATAATAAATGTTTATCATTTCTTCAGTTGAATAAAATCCACGCTGCAATGGCATTAAAAGAAAAAATTGTGTACAAAAAGTACAATCCAGAGAATATGAAAAGAGCTCTGGACGACATTCGCTTGAAAAAATTATCAGTGCGTGCAGCCAGTAAGTTGTACAACGTGCCTTTCTCAACATTACTAATGAAGCATCATGGCATATATCCGATGAATGCTAGACCAGATCCTACGACAATTCTTATTTCAGAAGAGGAAAATGTATTAGTTGAATGGATTTTACATATGAGTGTGGCTAGTTTCTGCATTACAAAGGAGTAACTGTTGAACAGTGTCCAGAAATTAGTCAAAGATTTAAAACGAAAAACACCATTTACAGATAGTAGACCTTCAAAACTATGGTACCAGTCTTTTCTCAATCGTCATCCCGAAGTGTCACTGAAGTTAGCACAAAATTTATCTCTTAGGAGAGCTGAAATGTCAGAGAAAGATGTCCGTAATTGGTTTCAAGACATAAAGGTATATTTAAAATCTAAAAATTTGTTAAATATCAGTGGTTCGAGGATTTTCAATTGTGATGAATCGGCTTTCTTACTGAATCCAAAATCTAAAAAAGATGTCATTATTGAGTTCTTAGTCTTTTTATGTAACAAAGTATTTATGATCAGAATCTAGTTCTTGACCTGATCAGAAATTGATTCTATGAGTAAAATGGTTGATCAGAAATTAGTTCCATGTAACTCACGGATATTTTATCTCATTATTAACTTAATTATGACTATTATATCATTTTTCCAAATGCAACTTAAAGTTGAAATGTTGATCTATCGTTTGAAAACAAAAAAGTTTGTATTTTTTTCTTTAAATATTGAGGGCAACATGGAAGTGCTACTTAACTGATCAGAAACTAGTGCCTTGACGGTACTTGTATCACTTTCAACAATCTGCAGACTGCATGACGAAGATTCAGAATCAGGATTATCGATGACATGATTATTTTCAGGTGTAATATCTTTTTGTTGAGTTATTACAGCTTTATGCTTTCGCTTCAGGTGGTTTTTTTAAGTTTGTCGTATTGTTGTGATGTTTGAAATATTATTGCACAACGTGCAACGCTTTGATATTGCATCATGGAAAATGAAATACTGTTTAATCAAGTCTTTATCAGATTTAGATGCCACTTTATTGGTAATATTTTTTGAAATAGTGCCAGTTGACATTGTCAGTTGATGTTTTTTACTTCCTCTGGACCTACAGTTTACAAAGATAATATAAAGATAATATCAAGAACTTCTAAAAATTTAATATTTAAAATGATTTAAACTTGTACTGGATATATGCGACATATATATAATTACATTCACACACAATAGCATTCCGTAATTTACTGCGAATATTGAAAATCTATAATATACATAATGTAAACTATATAGATTTTCAGTATTTGCCGTGAATAACGGAATACAGCTAATAACTTTTTATGACTTACGTTTTCCTCTGCTATTTCATTCTCGACACTGTAAACATAACCGTTTTGTTCTCTGTCATGCTAGTCTTAGGGCCACTTTCACCAAGCTCAGTAAGTTAACCAGCCTAGTAACTGTAATGAAGTAGAAAGAGATAGAAATAGTTATATCTCTTTCTATTTCATTACAGTTACTAAGCTGGTTAAGTAAACTGACGATGATGAAAGTGGCCCTCTATATTTTTAGATTTAATTGAATATGTCACTCAGATGCAAGAGCTCACCGAGCGCTTAGTGAGCGGTTGTAGTACTGAATGCGCCTAATGATATTACTTAAGTTCGTATCAGATTACCGACTCTGCAAATTACCGACTGCCAACTCTGACTGCCGACCAATAATAGACCAATCACATATTGAATCAGTCTTATTGTGATTGGTCCATTGCGTTAGAGCAGTAGGTGCTGTGATTGGCAGCGTACAATAGCTTCGTGCGCCCTTCCTTTCGAAATTAATGATTTGTAAAAATTGAGAATCGTCGATACGATTCTTTGAAAAATTGGATCGATTCCGAAAGAATCGAGAAATTAAAAAATCGAATTAAAATCGATTTTTCAAGAGCAAAAAGAATTAATTCTCGATGCATCAATTCAAGAATCGGCATCACTAGTGTACGGTTAATAAAGCAGATTAGAAAGAATTTTATATTACTTGACGCTTTGCAAAATATTTCAAATGACCTTTTAAACCTAAAAAATTTTTTACCGGTAAATTATATTTTTGTAGGTTCAGAATGTGAATCATATCTTGAAATTGAATGTTCCGAATTTCTTATAGAAGTAAAATATAAATGTTTGAATTTTTATACAACGGCGTTAGAAGAAATGTTACAACGATTACCATATAATACGAAATTTTTCGCGAATTTAATTTCTTAGATCCTAAACTAGCTTTACATGATGAAAGTAGATTAATTTTTCTTGATTTGAAAAATATAGCAAAACGTTTTGGCATATCTGATATTACGACCTCAGCTTATGAATGGAGAAGTTTTGCAGAATTTAACGACGCGGAAAAAATATTTTTGACTAATTTAAAAATTGGTGAAATGTGGAAGAATATTTTAGAGAAAAAAGATTTTAATTGTGAACCATCTTTTCCAAATTTAAAATAATTAGTATATGCCACTTTGTCACTTCCACATTCTAATGCCGAAGCAGAAAGAATATTTTCTATTGTCACTGACGTCAAGAATAACAAGAGAAATCGTATTAGTCACTTGTTTAGATTCAATTTGTAAATTACGATTAAGTTTTCAGGCCCATAATTTAAATTGTAATAATTTCCAAGTTGATTCTAGACATTTGGAACTGCACAATACTCAAAATCTTTATCGCCAAAATAAAGGCAAAGAATGAATAGGATAGCTTATTTTTTCTATTAATTTTTATTGTAATTTTTATTTAAATTCATAGTACATTATACTACAACGATTGGCACAGAATTAAAATGTTTTTTGAATTTTCGTCACGCGTGTTTTTGCTATTGCTTTCCACGTGTTGGAGTATCGGTATTCTCTTTTTTTATTCAACATTTTCTTTTTTCAACTTTTATTATAACTTGTAAAAATATATTGCTATCGGACCAATATTTTATTTTGTATTAATTATAATTAATAATATTTTTCATAATCTTATGCATATATGTAACACTTTTATTTATATTTACACTTTCTACTACAATTTCTTGTTAATAATAATTTTTTTATTGACTTGGTGTGACAGCATATATTCATGCAATATTTAAGATGTGAGATGTTACAATTATGCGCAATAATAATAAATTTTATTTTTGTTATTTATTTATTTTATTTTATTCTTTGACTTTTAATTTTAGATTATGGTGCATACATGCACAAACACACGCGCGCACGCGTGTACACGTATTAATCATATTTTTCTTTTTAGAAGGCTCATTATAGGAATATCAGACATTTTTATTTATGTTTAAAGCGCATTTTTTAAATTAATTAAAATGTAATACAATTTGTATTTATACGTGTTATAGATATGTTTTATTTTATGATATTGTATATTAACACGTTATTATATGTATATATTTTATTTTTATTGTATTATATTATTGTATTATTTATTGTATTAATTCAATATGCGTTGTAATTATGTTTTTTATTACGTATTAGATGTACAACTTTGCTTCCGCCGTTTTTTTTCCGAAATTCGAGGCTTTATTGTAAAAAACTGGTTATACATTTATCATTCAAAGTATTGTCCTTCGCTGGCCACTACTTTCTCCCATCTTTCGGGCAGCGTATGAATCCCGCGTCGAAAAAACTGGTCATCTTTTGAAGCGATCCACGAATCGATCCAATTTTTTACTTCTTCATAAGACCGGAAGTGCTGGTCAGCCAGGCCGTGTGCCATTGATCGAAACAAGTGATAGTCAGAGGGAGCAACGTCTGGAGAATACGGCGGGTGGGGTAGGACTTCCCATTTCAACGTTTCCAAGTATGTCTTGACCACTTTCGCAACATGGGGTCGAGCATTGTCATGATGCAAAATCACTTTATCGTGTCTCTCGTTGCATTGCGGCCATTTGTCTTTCAATGCTCGGCTTAAACGCATCAATTGCGTTCGATACCTATCGCGTGTGATTGTCGGTTTTAACAGCTCATAATACACTACGCCGAGCTGGTCCTACCAAATACAGAGCATGACCTTGGAGCCGTGAATATTCGGTTTGGCCGTCGATGTGGAAGCATGGCCGGGAACTCCCCATGATTTTCTGCGTTTGGGCTTATCGTAATGAACCCATTTTTCGTCCCCAGTCACAATGCGATG